GGATTCCTTAGGTTCCCCTGAAACACTAGGCGATCTGGATTTCTCAATTACAGTCTCACGTACATCCTCTAATTCGGATTTTTCGCTAGCAATGCTAGGCGACTTTGAATGCTCAGTGGGTTCCTTGGGTTCCCCTGAAACACTAGGCGATCTGGATTTCTCAAGATGCTTGTCATCGATAATTCCCGTATCGGACTTGTCGGTAGTTATACTGGGTGATCTGGATTTTTCTATTGCAGTTTCCCGTACGTCCCCTAATTCAGGTTTTTCGCTAGCAATGCTAGGCGACTTTGAATGCTCAGTGGGTTCTTTAGGTTCCACTGAAACACTAGGCGATCTGGATTTCTCAAGATGCTTGTCATCGATAATTGCCGTATCGGACTTGTCGGTAGTTATACTGGGTGATCTGGATTTTTCTACTGCAGATTCACGCAGATCCTCCAATTCGGGTTTTTCGCTGGCGATGCTAGGTGATTTGGAATGGTCAATGGGTTCCTTCGCATCGGCTGAAACACTGGGCGATCTAGACTTTTCTGGAGCTTTCTCATCGACGCTTATAGTATCAGACTTGTCGACAGTTATACTGGGCGATCTGGATTTCTCTTTTACACTTTCACGTCGATCCTCCAATTCAGGTTTTTCGCTAGCAATGCTAGGCGACTTTGATCGATCAATGGGTTCCTTAGGTTCCCCTGAAACACTAGGTGATCTGGATTTCTCAATTACAGTCTCACGTACATCCTCTAGTACAGGTTTTTCGCTAGCAATGCTAGGCGACTTTGACTGATCAGTGGGTTCCTTAGGTTCCCCTGAAACACTAGGCGATCTGGATTTCTCAAGCTGTTTGTCATCGATAGCTGCCGTATCCGACTTGTCGGCGGTTACACTGGGAGATCTGGATTTCTCCATTACAGACTCACGTACATCCTCTAATTCGGGTTTTTCACTGGCAATGCTAGGTGATTTGGAGTGGTCAATGGGTTCCTTCGCATCTCCTAAAACACTGGGCGATCTGGACTTTTCCGGAATTTTCTCAGCAACGTCTGTGGCGCCTGGCTTATCTGGGGTTACACTGGGAGATCTGGATTTCTCTTTTACACTTTCGGATAGATCCTCTAATTCAGGTTTTTCGCTAGCGATGCTTGGTGACTTTGAACGTTCGGTGGGTTCCTTTGCATCCCCCGAAACACTGGGCGATCTTGACTTTTCCGGAGCTTTCTCATCGACACTTATCGTATCAGACTTCTCGACAGGTATACTGGGAGATCTGGATTTCTCTTTTACACTTTCGGATAGATCCTCTAATTCAGGTTTTTCACTAGCAGTGCTAGGCGACTTTGATCGATCAATGGTTTCCTTAGGTTCTCCTGAAACACTAGGCGATCTGGATTTCTCAATTACAGTCTCACGTACATCCTCCAATTCGGGTTTTTCACTAGCAATGCTAGGCGACTTTGAATGCTCAGTGGGTTCCTTAGGTTCCCCTGAAACACTAGGCGATCTGGATTTCTCAAGCTGTTTGTCATCGATAATTCCCGTATCGGACTTGTCGGCAGTTATACTGGGAGATCTGGATTTCTCTATTACAGACTCACGTACATCCTCTAATTCGGGTTTTTCACTAGCAATGCTGGGTGATTTGGAGTGGTCAATGGGTTCCTTCGCATCTCCTGAAATACTCGGCGATCTGGACTTTTCCGGAATTTTCTCAGCAACGTCTGTGGCGCCTGGCTTATCTGGGGTTACACTGGGAGATCTGGATTTCTCTTTTACACTTTCGGATGCATCATCTAATTCAGGTTTTTCGCTAGCAATGCTAGGCGACTTTGAACGATCAATGGGTTCCTTAGGTTCCCCTGATACACTGGGCGATCTGGATTTCTCAAGATGTTTGTCATCGATAATTGCCGTATCGGACTTGTCGGCAGTTATACTGGGAGATCTGGATTTTTCTATTACAGTTTCACGTAGATCTCCTAATTCGGGTTTTTCTCCGGCGACACTCGGCGACTTTGAACGGTCGGTGGGTTCCTTCGCATCCCCCGAAACACTCGGCGATCTAGACTTTTCTGAAGCTTTCTCATCGACACTTGTCGCATCAGGCTTATCGGCCGTTATACTGGGAGATCTGGACTTCTCTAATATCGCGTCACGTGGATGCTCCAATTCAGCTTTCTCGCTGGCGATGCTAGGAGATTTTGAAGGTTCAGTTGGTTCCTGCGCATCAGCTGAAACACTGGGCGATCTAGACTTTTCTGATACTTTCTCATCAACACCTAACGTATCAGGCTTATCAAGAGTTACACTGGGAGATCTTGATTTCTCTACTATAGTTTCACGTACATCTTCCAATTCCGGTTTCTCGCTAGAGATGCTAGGTGATTTTGAGTGTTCAACGGATTCTTTTGCATCTCCTGAAACACTGGGCGACCTAGACTTTTCTGGAGCTTTCTCATCCACTCCTGTCGCAACAGGCTTGTCAACGGCTATACTGGGAGATCTGTCTTTCTCCAGTATAGCGTCTCGTGCATCCTCCAATTCAGCTTTCTCGCTTGCGATGCTGGGCGATTTTGAATGCTCAGTGGGTTCCTTAGGTTCCCCTGAAACACTAGGCGATCTGGATTTCTCACTCACAGTTTCACGTACATCCTCTAATTCGGGTTTTTCGCTAGCAATGCTAGGCGACTTTGAGTGGCCAGTGGGTTCCTTAGATTCCCCTGAAACACTGGGCGATCTGGATTTCTCAAGATGCTTGTCATCGATAATTCCCGCATCGGACTTGTCGGCAGTTATACTGGGAGATCTGGATTTTTCTACTACAGATTCACGCAGATCCTCCAATTCGGGTTTTTCGCTAGCGATGCTAGGTGATTTGGAATGGTCAATGGGTTCCTTCGCATCGGCTGAAACACTGGGCGATCTAGACT